TTTCCCTGAATGATATTTAAAAGAATACATAAACCCAGGTCCTTTACCTCCAATGATGGGGAGGTTACATTTACAGATCAAGAAGATCAGTTGTGAGCCTGCCATATTTCTTTTGGAGTCTCTAGAGTGCCAGGGTGGATCATTTATGAGATGGTCCTCAGGCATAACCCCTAGATGTACAAAATCAAGAGAGGAGGCCCCCACCCTGGCACTGAAGTCTCCCACTGGGATTACAGTAGCTTTAGGGTGAGTTGAGTTTATCTTTAACACTGCCTTTTCTAGATTTGCCCAAATATTAGGGGAAAAGTGGGGAGATAGGAGTGGGGGTAGATGTATGTTCAGTAGCACCATTTCAGAGAATTTGTATGAAAATTTAACAGCTAAATAATGGGGAGAGTCATCTCCAAGGACCAATTCCTGTCCTTGCCAGCCCAACTTTGCCTTGGCAAGTGCAGCCAGTCCTCCTGATGCCCACCCTTTGGTTGTGTACTTCCTTGCGGGAATAGTCCAGGAACCAAAGCCTGGTAAGTGAACCATGGTCAGCCACGTCTCTCGGAGTGCTGTGAAGTCAACACCAGAGGGGAGCTCCACTCAGTCTGCGTCGGTTGCTCTGTTCTTCCGACCAGCAATATTCCAAGTCAGTCACTGTGCAGAGCCCTTGTGCTTAATATCAGTGGGGATGATTGGAAAAGTATTGGGATTTGGGGTTAAAGAACATGAGTCTTTAGTCATTCAGCGGGAGTGGCATTATCCAAGATTCCTTCGGTGTTGGAAAAAACACACTGGTTTGAAGTTTGTCAGCCTTCGCCACTGCCTTGCTGTTGTATGAGCTCTGACAGGCTTTGAGGTGAGCAGCAATTTGGGTGGGGTACTTTGCAAGTTGGCAGCTCAGCATAGTATCAGCTTCCAAGAGGGATGGCTTACCCCTAGGCGATGATGATCTCCCTGCCTCCAGTTCTCTCCTTGATCCATTTTGGGCTGTTTCGTGAGCAGATGAGTTGGGTCTTGGGTCTATTTTTAGGAGCCTTTTGCTAAGGGTGTCCTCCTTGTAGCTCAGTCCTACTCCGTGGCCAACCTCTGTAGGTAACTCGCAAAGATTTGGGCTGCATCTTGCTTCCTTCAATTTTGTTTCCGTTTCTTACATTTTTCATGGGGTGTAGTATTTTATCAGGAAGCAGGGGGAGGATGGTAGAAACTACTCCCAAGGACTCTTTCTTGTTCTTTTCCGTGTCTATATTTCACATTAAAATAGGAGGTGAGCCAGCAGATGGTTTCTCAAGATAGGTACTATTTTCTTGGGCAGTTGGAGTGACCAGCTCTATTCAAGGTTTAGCAGCTTCACATGTTATTGCTAATAATTCCCTCAGGTCGCCTAGCCTTTTCATAACATCTGGCAATGTACTGAAAGAGTTAATTAAGTTTGTCTCTAAGGGTTCTTCAGGAAACTGACTTCTCAAGGACAATGGTGATAGAGTGTCCTTGGAGTTACCTACTTTTATGTTGCCCAAATTAAACTTTTCAGTAAAAGCCCTCTTACTGCCAAGATGAGTTATTAATGAGCTAACTCCCACTGTGTGAAACACACATAATGGGAAGGTCTCAAACTTGCTCAACAAAGGCTTCATTTTGAACAACATGCTGGCAATAGTAGGATGTTTAAATGTTAGAAGGATTTGTTTAGAACAGAGTTTTTCAACCTTGGCAACTTTAAGATGTGTAGACCTCAACTCCCAGAATTCCCTAGCCAGCCAGAATTCTGGAAGTTGTAGTCCGCATATCTTAAAGTTGCCCAGGTTGAGAAACCCTGGTTTAGAATCTCTCCTGGATGGAAGCCATTCAACCTTCTGCAAATCAATCAACCGCCCTTCACAGCGTAGAAGGCAACTGAGGGAGAGAATGGCTGCCCTTCTGGATCCCCATTTTCCTCTATTTGCTCTAGTTATTTTGCATTTGTAGAGTGATCTGATTTGGCTGAAAGTAACAGTTATGGTTTCATTGCCTTTCATCCAATGCTTCCTGAGAGAGCAGTGCTCGCCTTGCACACTCCTCTGGATGCAGGCTTAGATCTCTTAATTTATCCCTCACTCGCTGTTTAGGTTCCAAAATAGGATCCACCTTCCCACCACTCTGATCTGCCTTTGAGACATCCTTTGTCTCTTGTTTTGACTGACTTGGCAGCAGTGTTCGGATGGCCGTGTTCCAGCTTACAAGAGACTCTTTCAGAGTGTCCACTTTGTTGTTAACTGTGGTCAGAAGCTCAAAACTTGACAATACTGTTTGTGCCGTCAGTAGGCATGGTCTGGGTGTAAAGTCAGTAAGTTTTTCGTTTTTTAAGTCCTCGTCCCCTTGTTGTGTAAGCCTTGCAGCAGCTGGACAAACAGCTGCAATCTGTGAGGGGGCAGCTTCCTTGGGGAAAGAAGTGGAAAGATCTAAAAGCTGGGAGCTCTCTATCTCCGCTTATAGATCCCATCCCGGGGGGTCCTAGCTAAGAGAGGCGATCAGGAAGAGTAAATGGGGTTTGGTTACTTACGGCAAGGAGCTGATTCCTGTTTAAATAACTGACAGCTTTGAGCTGTTTGGAGGGCTTGAGTGAAGTCTGAGGAGCAGAGCGCGAGCGTTGCCTCTGCTTCCTTTGCCCCATGGCAGAAATGGTAAAAATACTGGTCTCCAGTAAAAATAATAAAAATACAGGTCTCCAGCCGAACAAGAATAAAACAAAAATGAAATAAAAAGAAAATGGAATGGAATGGAATGGAATAAAAGCAAAAGAGCTAGTTAAAAATTACAAAGTGGCTTTAGAGGGAGCTCTTAAGAGCAGATGCTAGCTCGACACCATCTTTCTGGGCTCACCACCCCCCCCCCAATCTAGATAGCTGCACCTTGTAGCCATTATTTTTGGTTCTAGTTTCCGTGACCGTGGAAAATGGCGTCTTCCCCAGGGCATCATTGTAATGGGTTTATGGGTTTATGGTGGTACTGTATTTGTGGAGCCCTTGTTCTATCTGTATGGTTTATCATTCTGGTTGTTGTAGTCCAGGCTGGCTGTGTTTGTGGGTTTATGTGGGTTTAAGTGCTTTTAATTGTCATTATGGTGTCTGGCTTTTGTAAGCTGGCCAGCGTCTAATAGAATGGGTGGCTGTAACACCTCTAATAAATTAAATTCAAGTTTATGCATTTGGACACTGATGTCTCCTCCTCGTCTTCTTTTCTCCAGGCTGAACAACCCAGTTCCGTCAGCCTGTTCTTATAGAACATGTCCCCAAATCTCTGGACCATCTTTGTCACCCTCCTCTGAACCTGTCCTAGCCTGTCAATACCCCTCTGAAACTGGCACCCAGAATTGTCCATATCACTCCAGGTGTAGTCTCACGTACCTTTAATGCAATGCTTCTTCAAACGCAGCCCAGAACTGTGTTAGCCCTTCTAGCAGTTGCCTCACACCGCTGGCTCAAGCTTAGCTTGTTGTCAATGGCCCCAGCCAAGTTCTTCCCCGAGGAAGAGCTCCCAAGCCACAAATCCCCCTTTATGTATACGTGCTCTATATGTTTCCCCCCCAAATATAATACCTTGCATTTCTCTGTCTTAAAGGACACCTTGTTCCTATCCGCTCAGGTTTCTACTCTTTAGTGCAGTAGCGTTAGCAGAGCAAGAGAAGAAGAGTAAGAGGGAGGGAGGAAGACAGATGTGGGTAAATCTGGCACTTCTTTATCAGAGTTTCCCATGGCGTGTTTCTGCAGATATTGGTCCATGGTAAAGTTGAAGGGAAAAATCCAGCTGTCTCCCCCTTTTCCTACCCTTACATTTTCTCAGGCCTCTGGAAACTGAGCTCACAGGTTGCCACACCACTGATATCTTTGGGAGGTTCAGGAAAGAATCAAGAAAGTCTGGAGTCCTAGCAAAATAAAACTTTTCCCATGCCTAGAAGGCAAAAGAGCTATCAGCCGTATCACCTTCCTGGCTGCCTCCGTAGAATGTCCTGCCTTGAGATAACAACAGTTTTCTTCACCACTTCTATTTCACCACAGCATCTCAAAATGTTTTATTTCAAGCAGACAGTGGAGAGTTCAGAGCTGTGACACCTCTCGCGTGCCTACCTTGCCCTAACGAAAGATTGCGTCTTCTGCTGTTACAGGGAACGAATCCGTCAAGGCTTAGACGAACTTCAGAAGGTCTTGCCTGGAGGAGACACGTACATGCATGAAGGATTCGAAAGGGTAAATAACACCCAAGAATATAAGTCCTGGGCAGGAATGTGCCCGGGAAGTGTGAAAAAAGCCAAGGTGGTGGTTGCCGCCATGCCATCAAAGCCCCAGCCCGTTTTGATATGCTTTACGCGTGGGACACACATAAAAACGGGATGGGGCTTCAATCACGTGGTCGCAGTCTCCACCTTGACTTTTGATTTGCCCCTGCAGATGCCCCGTGGCCGTGGCCGAACAGCTGCTACCCGCAGCTTCCCAACAGGGCAGTTTCTCACTATTCTTGCTACGGACATTTGAAGCGATACTTTAGCCATATGTATACATCATAACAATCCTCTTTGGTTCTGTTTTAGGCAAGTGAGCAAATTTACCATGAAAATGTTCAAGGTAAGAATAAGTTCAGTAAAATAGTAGTTATTATTTTTGCTCATTAGTTAAGAGTGTCTTCCTTCATTGCCTTGCCTTCCCTACTCCTGATATTTGCAATTATTGTGAAGGTGGGGAAAAAATTTGTTCACTGAGTGGGTGGGGTTACAAAGACAAATAAGTTCCTCTGCAGACAGAGACCTTAGAACGGAGTTCCTGGGCTGTGGATTGAGCCCACAGATCTCTCTCTTGGTGCCAAGTAGTGCTATTTCGATACGACATACAGACACACGTATATGAAAGGAATAAGTACGGTAATTAACCCCATCCCAGCTTAGGAACAAAACTGACACTAGGACAAGTCAAGAAAAAAAGTTGCAGGCAATTCAGCACTAATTCCTCCCAGCAGGGAACAACAGGAAATAATAAAACCTCTGAATGTGCAGGAATTAAAACTTTTTTATTAAGGTTGCCAGGAATCTTTGCTAGAGACTGCTGGCCTGTCCGGAAATGTTATTGGAGCATCTTAGCTATTGCAAAGGACAATGTAATAAAGTTCTAAATTAAATGTTAATAACCAGGCTGTGCGTTGTGAAACCTTGATTTTAGCTGGATTTCTAAGTGCTTTTGAATGGAAGTTTGAGCCCAAGGAAAGTCTCTCTGGGTGTTTACTCAGAAGTAGGCTCCATTGGATTGGGTTCCATAACATTTGAACCTGCTGAGACCCAGCTCTGTTCCTTTATTCTTTTATTTCTTCTACTTTGTTTTCTGCCCAACTCATAAAACAACCCTGGGCAGACGTCGGAATGCATTCGCTGCCTAAGTTTGATCGGTGGTTCTGTGGAATCACATCTACAGTGTGAAAATATAACTTCTGGTATCTTCTTGTAATCAAACATGCTGCTATTAAGTCACACCTCTGGTTAGATCCGCTACGGGGCAAACTACACATTATCCACAAAGGCAAATGACTGATCAGCAGTTCTGGCTTTCTAAAAAAAAGAAAATCCACTTTGAAATGGAAGCAAATTAACCCATCTGATGCTTCATCCAGCTACCTCATATCCCTGCTTCAGTTTCATGCTGTTTTAAATCTTCTTCTAAATTTTTAAAAGCCCCGTTTGCTAGGTTAACCTCAGCAGTTGGTTTTCTATAATCTGCCTTTATGCATAGTGTATAAAGCATGGAAGTCATCATCTGCAGTGGGGCAAAAATAAAACTTACATACGGGGCGTCTTGCCTGGTAAACGTATCAGGAGGATGACCACGACTGTGTAATTGAAGCCCCATCCCCTTTTCACATCTGTTGTGATTTTTTTGACCCCCCTGCAGAGGCCGCTGGTTTTCACCCTCCATCCCACACCCCCCAAACACAATTAAATCAAGTTTAAATCACTTTCCCATCATCCTCTCTAGAAGGTGCAGGTCTTTCAATACCCGGCCGCTGTTCTCTGGGACAGAAAATTCCCTGTAGCAATTTAAGATATTTGGCAAACACTGATAATTACTGGAACTTTAATTTTTTTTGTCTTCAGACAGAATTCTTGAGGTTATCTTCATTTTCATAACAGCAACATGTTCACTTGAGCATGTAACGTGTGACTCAGATTGACAGCCACAACCAAATTAATTTTAATTTGGAGCCCGCACCACGGACAAGCCTAGACCACACTCAGATCATGATAACAATCTTGGGGCGATAAGAACGCCTTTGGGCAGTAATTCTGCATTCTCTTCAGATGGCACGTTGTAATCGGGATGATAATATGTTGGCTCTTCTCCATGATGAGCCCTTCTGCCCTAAAGCAATCCCAGTGTTTCTACTCTTCCGGAGCCCCCTTGCCTTCAGGCCCCATGGAAAATGAATAAATGCACAGCTCTAGGGAGAACAGCAGCCTTTAATTGTTTCTCCTCATCCCATCCATAATTTTTAATAAAAGGGGAGATTAAGTTCAGCTTAATGTGGATTTACTATTCTCTTATCAGATTCCATCCATTTAGGCACACAGGAAAAAAAAGTTCAGGATTCCTCCAAGATTCGATCATCGCTAACGTGTGGCGCTATGGTGCGTGAGCGCCCGTGCCAAGATAGAAGAGGAATTGGGCTGAAGTGCATCTTGCCCATGCACGAATGCTTGGCACAATTTTTACTCCCCCTCTGTCACCAGGGCACGCTGATTTACTTTGTGCCCATGTCTGACAAATCTTTTCTTGTCCTTTTGGTTCACCAGCCCAGTTTATCATGAAGTAGCCTCCCATATTCCTGCCATAAAACATGAACCCTGAATGGTCTGGAGGGGACCTGGGGGGAGCTGCAACCAGAGTTGCGGTCTGGGGCATCAGCCCTGCATTTGCTCTTTGGGCAGACAGCCACGAAGGATATCATGCCCACACATGTGTGCTTATACTTTAAAAATTATTTTTAAGTTTATATCCAAAAAGTAAACGTACAGATTGGGTAAGCAAGATGCTTTAGAAAACATACTTACATATTCAGTACAGAGTCTGAATTATGTCTGGTTTCCTATTAAATGCATGTGTGGTGAGTGTGGGCATGCCTTCAAGTCAGTCTGGACTCCTGGCAACTGCTTGCCCAAGTCCCCAAGAATCCTGGTTTCTAGCCTGGTGCCTTTAACCACCACACCAAACTGGCTCTCTTATCTGAGTCAGCCTTGACTCCTGATGTCCACATGAATGAGTCCCTGCAGTTTTCTTGGCACCCTTTTTGGAAGGGGTTTGGCATCACCTTCTTCTTTCCAGGGCTGAGAGGGAGGGACTGGCCCAAAGTCACCCAGCCAGCTTCCGTGCCTAAGGCAAGACTAGAACTCAGTTTCTAGCCTGGTGTTTCTAGCCTGGTGCCCTTAACCACTACATTAAATACTTAGTTGTTTGTATAAAGCCGAGTTTGTGCAAAAATGGCTGTCCCAATGTGATTGTAAAGCATGAAAGAAACTTCTGTGTTGGTTTGCAAACAGCACCAGATATGCAGAAACGTGTTTGAGTAAGAGAAGATGCTAGTTGTTGTTCCAGTATCCCTGACCGTTAATGCTGTTTCTGGAATGGCTTTCCTCATCAGGTTATAGGACTGCCAGTGTCATTATTGCCCTGACAGATGGAGAACTACATGAGGACCTTTTCTTCTATGCAGAACGAGAGGTAGGAGACTTGCACTGAAGGTCTGTGGTGAATGGAATGATGCAACTTGTCTTCTTACCGAAAATCACCGCAGGTTTCTTTTCAAGGAGAAGGATGTGCTCTCTCAGAATGGAACCTGTCATGTCAATCTGGAAATATTTCTCAGAAAATTACATCTAAAAATACCTACTTCAGGGAAGTGGAGAAAAAATATCTTGGGGAAAATTGTATATGAAAGCAAAGGTGGATTTTCTTGTAGCTTAAAAAATGCAGAATGGCAGAGAACTTAAAAGGTTATGATATTGATTAGACTGATATTTATTCCGCCTTTCTGTCCAGGGGGCTCTGAAGGTGGCTGTGGAATAAGCTAACAGTGGACTGGACAAATAACTGAGTACCTGGAATATGGAATGGTTCAATTAGAAAGTGATTCATGCATTCCTACATTTACCTGCCTTTACATTTTCTTTGTGCTGCAGTATCTGGACATTTGGTCATTCATGGCATCTCTTTCCAGAAATTGAGTCCTTTGTCTGACAACGCCATTTGTTGGCTAGTCAAGTCTCTGGTTAGATCAGTGTTTCTCAACCTCAGCAACTTTAAAATGTGTGGACTTCAACTCCCGGAATTCCTCAGCCTGTGCTGGTTGGGAAGTTGGGGGGTTGAAGTCCACACATCTTCAAGTTGCTGAAATTGAGAAGCAATGGGTTAGATCAGGGGAAAGTAACCACAGATGCACCCTCTACTGCTATTGAGATAGTCCCTCTGCAGGTGCCTATGTTCCTTCAGACCCCAGAAGACGCCTTGGCCCCCTTTTCTTTGGGAATTTTGCAGTTGTTAGTATCTAAAAAGACTTTGCTGCTCCAAGGGCTATGATCTGCAAGGACAATAAAAGTTTCTCAGATCAACCCCCCCCCCGCCCGCCAGAACTCTATAGCTACTAGAACTTCCAATCAGCTCCTTCTTGCACAGCTCAAAACTTGCAGCCCTCTCAGAAGAGAAGCTAGAGCTTCAGATGGTCTGACCACATAGGACTCTGTGACCACAAAATCTTGCAGAAACAGGATCTTGAGAACATCAGGGACAACAGAAAGTGGAAATGGGAAGGTGAGGAGCTCTACTAGTTTTGTTTTTATATTACTCCAAATCCAGTTTTGCCCATAGGTTATGTGGCCTTAACCCAAAGTGGCACCCAAAAGCACCAAAACGTTGCCCAACCCTGGGGCATGGGAACTGTGTCCCTCCTATAAATCCAGAAGCAGGTTGGTTTTAAAATCTCAGCTCCTATTGAAAACTCAATCAAAGAATGTCCTTAATCTCTTTCTTGGCCTGAGTGCTTTTGTGGGAGAAGAGGATGACAGATCTTCTCCTTGCAGATAAAACCCAGTTTTTCTACCTCTTGTGGTTTCTCAGGAAAGGAAAGGAATGAATTCTTAGTGTCAACACATTAATTTATCTTGGGTTTGCCCCAGGAGAGAGAGAGAGACTTGTGAGATCCGGTGAGGTTAATGGCACATCTTTGCAGACAGTGTTTTTATCTGTCTGCATCAGAGGCTCAAAATTGGCATGTCATTTTCACCGGCCTGACAGCTGGACTCAGCTTTATTTCTGGAGACTCTTGCAAACAAGAGAACTTTGCCCAAACAAGCTGGAAGCCACAGTCTGACAGTTCAGAAGTTCATCTTAACAGGGAGTTGCATTAGAAGGGCAGAATAGAAATCTTTAAATAAAGTAAAGTGAAATATGCAGATGAATTGGCTATTCTCCTGAGAAGTGACAAGATGAGGGGAAGTAAGAGGCTTGCCTGGCACTTAATGTCCTGTACAATTGTATTTGTGAGCTCTCCTACTCCTCACTTTGCAAGGATTGGAGTGGGCAAATCTATTTATTTCAGTTTTGCTGTATTTTTCATTCTTCCTATCTTACCTACCATCAACCAGGTTTTGCTTCTTCTTTTTTTTTCTAAGTCCACGTGAGCATTCATTTTGTTCCCACATAGTTGTGGGAAGCACACATTAAGAAAGCACGTAGTAAAATAGAAGCCAAATGAACTTCTCTCCCATCCTTAGCCAAGAGACTTTCCCAAGGAAAATGTTGCTGCTCTTTCTGTCAGCTGTCATCTTTGACTGCAAAAAGTAAACGCTTAAGGATTCAGCTTAGCCTGAAGAATGGTGCGCTACAGTTTGGTTGCTACGTCTTTGGAGGGATGAACCAGAGGACGTGTTCATTTTTCAATTACACGAATCTGCAGTGCTGACACCAGAGTTCTAGAAAAAAGGACTAATTATTTTAGGGCCCCAGGATGGGGAGAGTGGATTACCTTGGCTGGATTCCCCCCAGAAAAGTTTTTCAAAAGCATGAGGATGGAGAGATCCCTCAATGGCTCAGCTTGGCCTTTCACAGAATTTTTAGTCCGCAACACTCCTAGAGGGCATCAGGTTGGAGAAAGCTAGCTTGGCCCATCATCTCTGTCCGAAGCAACGGAATGAGATGGATTTATCAACAGTATCTTCTTTTAGGACTCCTGGGAACTGAATGGCCTTGCACAGGACGAGGTTCCTGTTGTAAGATGCTTAATTTTAGCCCTCTTCTAACATCATAATTATTGTTGTGCAGAAAATGCAGCCTGAATTGCCTCTCTCACCTCTCTGCATCATTCCCATTCAATCTGGTGGAAAAGAAGTTGCTGGCAGTTAAAAAAAAATGGGGAGGGGGAATTCCCAGAACTGTGGCCAGGAAGCCAGGTGAACATCCAGTCTTTACAGCATCCTGCAGTTTCCTGGGTTCCCCAAATTTCCAAGAGAACATCAGGAGAGAATTATTCTTGTTTATTCTTTTATTTCACTGATTTTATTTTTTATGGAAAAATAGGTAGCAGGGGAAGAAAGGTAACAAACCCCAAACTGCAGCCATTTCAAATAACAAAACAAGCTTCAAATGTCAGTTTTAAGGCAGACCAGGAGAAGTCTCTTTTGCAGGGAAAGAACGCTTGGTAAAATTAGAAGACCTATTTTAGCATAGCCCGTTCGGTGCCGTGGTTGAGGCCCCAGGCTAGAAACTGGGAGACAGTGAGTTCTCGTCCCACCTTGGGCACGAAGCCAGCTGGGTGACCTTGGGCCAGTCCCTCTCTCTCAGCCCCGGGAAGGAGGAGGGCAGGGCAAGTCACTCCCCAAAGTCTTGGAGGGACTAATTCATATAATCACCAGGAGTCAATACGGACTCAGAGGTGCACGGGGGAAAAAATGAACGTGCTATGGGAACTGTAGTCATGGCCTCTGTCCCTAGTCTAAACATGTCCTCTTGAACATTAAAAGAAATAATAAATAAGAGAGAGCTTAGAGCCATCTAGAGCAGTGTTTCTCAACCTCAGCAGAATTCTGGGATTTGAAGTCCACACGTCTTAAAGTTGCTGAGATTGAGAAACACTGATCTAGACCACCCCCCGCTCATGGCCATCTAAACTCTTTTTTAAGACCCCCAGTGAAGGGGATTTACCCCCTAAGCGGGGCAGCCTGTTCCACCCATTAGCAGCTTGTACAGTCAGGATGTTTCTGCAGAGGTCTCGCTCGAAACCAACTTTCTCGCGGTTTTAACCCCTTGGCTCTGGTCCTGCCCTCTGGGGCAACCAAGAATAATCCCACATTAGGTCATTACAGAAAAACTGCACGCAGCCCCCTTGGAATCTGCCCGTACGTTTGTTCTGCGATAAGAAAAGGCGTTTTCCAGCAAAGGACTGGTTTTTGCTTCGTTCCTCTTGCTCTTCTTTGCAATCTGACCGGAGGCTTTAAACGCTCTTCCTGCTCAAAGGCGTCTGCCTGGGCTGTAAACCCTCAGCATCAGGCCAGGCGGCAGGATCACTCCAAGGCCAAATTTCCCTCCTGGGGTCCGCCTGCTTTGCACAGGGTGGGGCTGAGCATTAGGGCCAGGGCTTGTCCTAATGGGGAGATTGCATTCCTCCCTGAATGAATTTAACACAAGAAGATGTCCCCCACCCTTTTAACTCTACCACAGTCGTTAAAAGATGCATAGAAAAGGAGGTAGAAAGGGTGGAAGCCAACTTTGCAGGTCTTAAAAGGGGGATTAGTAGGCAAAAGGCCTGTCTCAAAATGCCTCCGTCCAGAGGGCTGTGGTACGAGGAGGGCAAAAAAGTCATGGGGTATGTCGCAAGGGCAGGGCTTCAATTGTGTGGTCACAGCTGTCCTCTTGACTCTCTTGATCCTCCCTGGGGACACTCTTCCGTGATATAAATTTGGTAACTTCTTCTGCATGTTTTATTGGCATTTAATAGATGCCTAAGAGGGAGAGCGTGACGCAGATAAAATCCAACCCTGCCATAGTGTGGAAAAAATATTTTCCCTTGGAGCAAAAGTTGGAGTGAATACTTCAGCTGTGGTTAATAGAACTAAAGCGATACGATGTTTGCAGAGAAGGTACAGGTTAAGAACACCCGGTTTAAGGATGGCCCATAGTTAAGAACAGAACCTATTGTAGCAAAATTCAAATTAAATCACAAGGATTCAAGTGAAATACACAACGGTTTGAGTTAATTACACAGTACTACTTATGCAGTATTATACAATAGTACTGCTCTGGCTTACATACAAATTCAACTTAAGGACAGACCTTGGGAACGGAACCCGCCCTTAAAATAGGGACTCCCTGCAGAATGTTATGCCTTAAGCACCAAATGGGGAACAATGCCAGTCCATGAGAATAATGAATAAGAAGTACAAGAAACCAGGATGGGAGGGAAACGCCTTTCCCTCAGGGCAGTAAAGCAGATGGGTTCAAATATAATGCCAAAGTCGGCGTACTGTTCTAGGTTCCCCATGCGATCCAGGGGACCACTAAGTTCAATGGGTTTTTAAACATTACATTGGTGAAGGATGCCATGAGAAAGGGGGGATGCTCGGATGAACATTCCCGTCTCACGGAGGCTTTTCCTTAACACGGCTACTGGTCTGCAGAGAGGCTGGGCACGTAGGGGCACATTCATCGGGCCTGGCACGATACGGCTGGATTCACGGTGTGGCTATTTTGTTCTGATTGTGCTTGTGCTGTTTAGCAATAGGGAGGCACAGAGTGCGGCGAGGCTAGATCTTGCCATCCCAGGTGGCAGGGATCAGCACGGACCCCACCGCCGCGGGCAACTGCTGCTGAAAAGTCCAAGGGAGACCCAGAGCAGCAGTTTCATGCGGCCAGCTGAGCCCTGATTGGCCCCCGCCGTCACATGACTCCTGCTGGAATTAAAGCCAGTGTCCCTGCCGTGGGCATCTGGAGTGGGCAAAGGGCACTGGGGCGAAAGCACCGTATCAGGAGTGGAAGCTCGTGGCTTGCAAGGTGCCCTGGCAGAGAAGAAAAGCCTTCTCCACACCGGGGTCTCCAGATCTTTGGGAGTGCAATAGATCTCATCACCCACAACCAACCTGGGAAGTTTTAATCTCACATATATGGAGGGCCAGGAAGGCTTGCATAGAAGATGAAACAGCTGTGCTCCCCCTCCCCCCCCCCAGCCTGACAGTCTCTTTCCTTTAATCATAATTATGGGGTACATCCCAAACAGAAAGGTAATCCTGCTCTCTTGGATACAGGGTTTTCTTTACTGCTGAGCTGGCAGGCAGGTGGGTGAGATGGGCCAGGAGATAGGATGGTGGTTCAGAGGCCCCATTCTGAGAATTGCCACACACACACACACACACACACACACACACACACACACAAAGACATCATTGGACTGTTTCCTTATCCTGTCTGGGTGATAATCAAAGCTTTTGTCTCTCCTCCAAGGCTAACCGGTCCCGTGACCTGGGAGCGACAGTGTACTGTGTCGGTGTGAAAGATTTCAATGAAACTCAGGTAATTTTGGTTCTCTCGCATTTGGGCAAAGCTTGGTTTAAGCGTGACAGCTTTCACTCTCATTTGAAATTGCTTTTGAGGGAGCCGGAAGTCCAAGGCTGTCTGTGGGGAATGGGTCCAAAAAGTCAAAATAGTGGCCAGAACCGTGGAATCCAAGCCCCAACCCTTCTTGACGTGCATCACAGCCATCCCTGCCGTGACGTGGCCACCGCATTGACTTTTTGGACTTCCCCTGCAGATGCCTCTTCAAAAGCCACCTTGTTTTCTAAAAGATGCCCTGTTCTGGCAGCAAGATCTTGCTCTGAAAAGACAGCCATCTTCTCAGTCCAAAGAACTTGGTTGAGCTTCAGAGAGAGAGCAATCTGAACGATTTGAATCTCATCTCGGATGAGAGCAATTTATTTCATCTGTTATTTAAAAAAATGTGTTCGTTAAGATCTTCTTGGATGTAAAGCTCTTCAGTCAGAGAATGGCACTCTTAAAATTACTACATTTCAAGCTTTAAGGGCTTATCATTATACAGTGCATATTGTAGATTGGGCAAAAATGCCACGTAAATGCAAAATTCAGTGCCTGGTGATTTCATGGATGTACCCGCCTCGTTTTCTTGCCCACTGAGACACGGCTTGCCAGTGCCTTCTTCCACGATGTATCCTGACTACAGCCCCATATTTCCTGGTGGTCTCCCTTCCAAGTGCTATCAGGCCAAGGTGGTTAGTACTGAGTATTTCCAGCCCAGAGAAGGTTGCCAGATGCTGCCAGATTCTGAGAATCCAATAAGACTCTCTGCTCTGGGTGGCCATGTAGAGGATCATGGTTGCTAGCGCAGGTCAGAGGGTGGGCAGCTTTCTGGCCAAGGGCCATATTTCACCCTTGGCCTGATTTCAAAACCCCTCTGCAAAGATCCACCTCGGTCTTCTGCTCAGGGCTGCCTGTCCTTTCACAGCAGCCAGCTGCTTGAAGAAACAGGAGATGGGGGTCAAGGAGAACAGATAACCCCACCATGTTTTCCTCTGGCTCCACCCATTTCTTTTAGCCCCACCCACCATATGGTTCTCCCAACATCCTGACCCCAAGGTCTCCTCCAGAAAAAGGGTGGCCCATGCCTGCTGTCACTGTTGGAAGACCTGAAGGACCAGGCTGGGGGCAGACCATCCTGGAGAAAATGTATCCACGCGGTTGCTAAAAGATGACACTGACTTGATGGCACCTACTCAATCAATGCTGGCTGTAGGCAAAGACTCTTTGGGTTTATCCACATGCCCCACAAGAGAAAAACTGCTCTACTTTCGCTGCTGTCTTTTGTGGCATGATGAGAGTGATTTTTGGGGTTTTGGGACCCTGCTCCAGGACAGCTCTTTCCTTGCACAAGAACCATCAAACAGCAAAGGGCAGCTTGGCTGGGTCAGCCCCTGGGTTGGTGTGAACCATCTCTCCCCTGGTTTCAGAAGAAGCAGTGAGCAAGGTGTTGGGTTGCAGGAAAGAGAAGAAGCTCTTAAAGAAGCAACATAAGGAGATATAACGGGAACAAGGAATAACCTTGAGGAACAGGGGGAAGAGCTGCAACCAAGACAACAGTCGGAAAAAAGAAATCTGAGTCTAGAGCAGAACTGTAACCTGAGAAAGCACCTCAGACATGGCCCTCCCTGTTCTCATGAAGATAAAGGGAGGGAGAAAGGAAGTGCATTCAGAATTGCAAGATTCTGTTCCTATAACCTTATAATAAAAATAGTCTTAGCTAGCACGTGTTTGGTTTCCAAATTTGGTATCCCTTAGAGGGCTGACAGAGGGAGCAGAGAAAACATTAGTGGTTGAATTCAAAAGTATAGAAAATTGGAGCTGGTAGCAAAGACCATTGCCCATAAAGTCCAAGGGGCTAATGCTGGACAACAAGTAGAAAAATCTGCCAAGACAAAGGGAGTTTTCCATCATCACCTAGGTTTCCAATTCCACCCTATCGAATTGGAATTTCATAAAGGGGATTAAAAAAAAAAAAAGGCTAGGAGCATTAGGGAAGTTATGGCTGATTCCAGCCTCTTCTCTCTATGCCTAGAGACCAACATGAGTATTAACCACAAATTAACCCTTCCCATCCAAACACCATGGTTTAGGTAAGGAAGCCAACAATAAGTCATAGATACCAATTGTGGGTCAAGATGCTTCTCCTTAACTATAAAGCCCATCTAAGTAGAAGCATCCAGTCAATTTCAACTGGACTTGAAAAGCTGAGCAGGGTCAGACTGGTTTGTACTTGGGAGGAAGATCCCAGGAAATCCCAAGGCTGTGGTCTAGATTGGGAAGTCAAAATGCATTCCAGATTCCCAGAAGAAGGCAACGGTAAACTATGTCTGAATTGTTGCTGTATCGGTTGGTTCTCAGGCTAATAAAGATTTAGGAGACAGTTTTGCAACCAGCCAGTTGCAAGCTTTCCTGTTATTGTGAAAAAGATCTGACACCTCGACAGATCATAGGAAGGCTGGAAGAAAGACAACGAAAATGTCTCCACGCTAATGTAACCAACGGATATATTGGTTTTAAATGGGAAACAGTTCAGCTGCTGGAGATCTTACAACCTCATTCCTCTAATTTCAATAAATTTTGCTAAAGAGAACTCTGAGAATCAGATTTGGAAAGAATTTTGGTGGCTGCCAAAAAGCCTGGAAGTTGCCTCTAGAAGACTCCATGGATGCATCCATGAAGTCATCAAGAGTCAAACTCCTCCTGTAATAATTGAAACTATGATCTGGGTTCAGTCAGGATCCTATCATAGTGTTTCTCAACCTCTTAAAGTTGTTGAGGTTGAGAAATACTGTCCTATCATATAGGGTCATATAGAAGGTTTCTGAGAGTTAAAAGAGAAGGTCTCTGTTTCATGGGTGTTTGCTAATTCCCCTTCCCCCCCACTATGATATCTGGATAAACTAGAATCCTCCTATTGTAGTAAGGGCAATTTCTGGGGAAAAAATGAGTGTGGGAAGAAAAGAAATCCACACACAAACCAGTGGCAACAAAGCTTGGTGAATAACTGTCTCCAGCTCTGGTGAAATGGTCATCTGCCTGTCGGGATTTGACTGACTGTGTGTGTCCAGCTTCTCTTTACGTCCTTGCTGGCGACTCACTTTTCCAACTGTTTTTTCTGCAAAACCAGTTGGCTCGAATCGCTGACAGCAAGGATCACGTCTTCCCCGTGAATGATGGTTTTGAAGCTCTCCAGGGAATCATAGACTCTGTAAGTCTTGCTTACTACTGTATTCATTTTATGACTTAGTGAAATTAGCATTGTCGTTGCCAGAAACAGTATATTTATCAGTGCTATGACATCGGAGGGCCTCCTAGAAAGAAAGCAGTAGCAGCACTGAACTGAATGGCTTGGCTGAGTGGAGAAGAGATGTGGGCTGAGTGATGGCTAAGGAGTGCCAGGGAATTGTTTAGCAGGAGCGAAGACCATTCATGGCTTTTATTCAGAGGGCGGGGGAAGTTCTGCGCCATTACGAGGCCCCTGCATCTCACTTTGTTTTCAAAACCAAATCACCCAGAACATGGGAGGTTCTGCTCTACTGAGTCTTGCCAATTTTCCACAATATTCTTGTTCTTACGAGGTCTAAAGCAGGTACTAATGTAAGACAGTGGGACCTTCTGGAACTGCTGATGGGGAAGGGCCTGATCCAGGGGCACCCACAGAGAGGGGGTTAAAAGAGTCAAGGTGGCATCCATGACTGCTCAATCAGAGCCACCGTCTTGACTTTTTTTGGCCTCACCTAGGGAGGCTCCTGGCCTGATCTGCTGAAGGACCATGACACAGTTCTGCAGGCATCTTATGAATGGTGTTTGTCTCTGTGTACCTGCATAGTTATGCTGCCTGCAACAGCTGCCAGCTGCTAAACCCTAGGCAGCCTTTGCTTCATGGCAGAGCAATCCTTGACATGCACAAGAACCCAGCTTCAATTTTCAGCCTCTTCAGATCATGCCAAGCAAGATTTTTCTCTGGAATTCTTCCACTTACCATCTGTGATGCTTGGCTCAGTGAAACTAAGCCCTGAGGCAGCTTCCTATATCAACAGGATGGAGATATCACCAGGATTGAGTTCTCCAGATGTCACACCTGAAATTCCCAGTGAGCCTCACCACTAGTTAAAACTACTGGAAGTTGTAGTTTGGCAATGTCGGGAAGACCGTAGGTTCTTCACTCATGCTATTCCTTTAAATGAGGTTAATAAGCCAAACAAAGAAAGTGCTGAGTTTCTGCATCCATAAGACAGAATATCTCCAAGGAAGATAATTGCTTTCCAACACAAGATTTATTGATGTGGACTTCCGGTTCATTTGGAGAGCAGGGATAGAAGGCTGTGTTCCTGATGCCTCCAAGTGCAAATGCTTTTACTCTAGCGTGCTTTCTTGCAGATAAACTGGATCAGGACCCACCTTCTCTCTCTCTCTGTCCTCTGATTTCTTGTAACTGAACATACCAGATGGGGTTGGAGCACCAGGTATTGTAAGATCATAAAAGAGATTCTGTTCTTCGACTTGCATTCTCTCTACAGCTGTTCCTAATAGATTCCAGAAGTATTTCCTTTCTCTTTGTCTCACTGCCTATATTTCTTGTGGCCTCAGTTGCAAGCATAAATCACCAGATTTCATGCTTGGGAAACTCAGTCTAGAACCCATCATGCAGGTTTGGTTGATTTCTGATAGTCTTAATGGAGAAAACTCAGACTGACATTGTAACATTTCACAAAAGGATGATTGGAGAGTGTGTAAAGAAAAATTGCTGCATGGCAAACATTATTTAGCCTGAAGAAAAGAAGATGGCATGCTTTTCTATAACTTGGTTCATTTTAGGTCTGTGTGAACCCAAGGGTATAGATCAGTGTTTCTCAACCTTGGCAGCTTTAAGATGTGTGGACTTCAACTCCCAGAATTCCCTACCAGCCTGGCTGGCTGGGGAATTCTGGGAGTTGAAGTCCACACATCTTAAAGCCGCCAAGATTGAGAAACACTGGTGTAGAGAGTAAGGAAGCTGACCTTAACAGAGATATGCAGGAACTGTTACCTACACAAAAGGGGCTGAAACATATTTGAAGTCCACAACCTACAGATAACATTTGGAAGTAACTGAGGGAGCCACCTCCCTAATACACTAAAGGATAACGGGGTTGCAGCGGGAGGGAGGAGGTCCAGCACAGACTTGCAAGATTCTGTTCTTACAGCCAACCTCAATAAGAGTAGTTTCAGCCTTCTGGTGGAGTTGATTTCCTGGTCTGATCCACCTAGTGGGGCTGACAAATAGAATTCAATCCAATGTATTGAATTCATCTGACAAATTGGATTGATCCCATCTGAATTCATATCAATTGGGCCACCTCGCTTCTCAGTCCCTTTGAGTCGTCAGGTCGGATGAATGAATCCAGTCGGTTCCATCTGAAAGCATCAATTGGATCTTCCAGTTGGATCATTCATCTGAATGGGATCATTCTGTTCAGTGCATTTATTCAATACACGAACTTCACCAGACTCTATCAACATGGCAGACATTGGCCCGATGTTGGAAGCTAGCACAGAAAGCGAAAACAAATACAAGAGTGAGAAACATGGACGAAAATTGGAAGCTGAAGCCAGACATTTGAGAATCAGTGGATACCATCGATTGGGGTATCCTTCTGGGCTGGCTCGGGATTTGGAGTGGGAGGAACAGTATTATGGTGGTTCTCCTCTCTTCTCCAAGGCAGGGTTCAGTTGGTGTTGGCGGGGAGGAGATTGAGCCCCAGGCCCCAGCTCTAGGTTACCTTAGAGCTCTACTGTCTCCCCACCCCTATTTAGCATCAACACGAAGCCTCTGGATGAGGCCATCCGTTGGCACAGGATACAGGATCACCAGGATGCTATTGATACCCAGTGGTACATCTCGGCCTGGGCCAACCAGGTGACCCCCCAAGGTTCTTTCTCAGGGCCTGAGGACCACAGGGACTTGGATGGGGCAGAACAGGCTTCAGCTTAGCCCTGGCTGTGGGCTTTAGGGCTCCTCAGATTCAGAGGTTTTCCACCTTTAACTCTGATGGAGGGAGCACAACTGGGGGGGGGGGGGTTTGTAGAGAGTAAGGAAGATGACCCTGCATAGAAATATGCAGACCCCATAGCCTTGGTAACGGGCTGAAGCGTAATTCCTCAAGGTCATCTCCCTTACCCTCTGCAGGGGTCCTTCCTGAAGATCACTGTGGGTGATTTGCGTCCCTGTGGGAGACTGGTGTCCCTGTAAATCAAATGAATCAATTAGTGTAGTGGTGGTGGGCAATAATCTGCAGAAGCGGAGAATAGCCCCCCCCTCAAAGGCAAGGAAATGGGGGCTTTCAGAGATATTACCTTTGTGGGGAAAAAATAGCTACTTTCATTGCAAAAAGAACACTAACACAGTTGGCGCAGCCCTTCCATTTTGTTTCTGGTGGCAAGAAGGAACTTACCGCCTGTTTCAAAGGCATCTTGTTTGCTTTGCCCCTGCTTTAAAAAATAGAATCACAGAGCTGCAGGGTCCCTTAGAGATCATCTAGCCCAGTGTTTTTGAACCTTGGCAACTTTAAGAGGGGCGGACTTCAATTCCCAGAATTCCCCAACCACCATGCTTTCAAAGGTGTGGACCTCAACTCCCAGAATTCCCCAGCCAGCATGCTTTAAGTGGTCAGGGTTGAAAAACATGGGTCTTGGACATTGCGCACAGTCACCCGAGGTTCCGGGGCCAGGAAACATGACTGGTCTCAGGGCTACAGGTGGGGAGAGGATGACTGCATCTAGCCCCTGTTCATCACTGTCTATTTCTGCTGGTCATCAAAATGACTTCTCTGCCCAAAGGGTACCAGAAGTATCATTTTCTTGGCAAACGTGCACTGAAGTCTCCATCATGAAGAATAACAGCTTTTTAGAGTGGGGAAAATGGCAGGTGGAACAGTGGTGAGCACGGGGCTTCTGCAGGCATGGTCGAAAAAGTCAAGGAGACGGTCACAACAGTGCAATAGAAGTGCCACCTGTTTTTTATGTGTCCTGGGTGAGCACCCCTTCTTGTCTCTGTGCGATTCAAAGAACCGCACCTAAAACTCCCTTTCATAAGTTAAAAGCTAATTATGATATTATAATTTGCAAATGGCACCATTTGTCATTTGATGCTAAATGTTTAGATCAAGCAGATGCAGGTGAGGGCCAGCAACGTCCACGATGGGGCTGGGGCGGGGGCGGGCTCAGACTGAACCAGGCAGTGCCGTGGCATTGCGATACAAACCACCTTATTGTACGTGCGTCATGATGTCACGTGCATGCTCCCAAAGGGCATGCCCTGGCACTGCTTCCATTATTCAGGCAAAAGATGCTACCGATGCTGCTGAGGGGGCCCCCTGCGTCTAGGGTAAGCCCAACTGGCAACTCCCCCGTGTACCCATTGGCCACACAGCAGGACATTATCGTGCAGATGACGCAAATGACGTCCTTGCCTCACTCTACAAGGATCGCTCGAATTATATCCAGGGAATATGACCCTAACCCTAACCCTCATCACATCACACCCCTAAACAGGAGAGCCTTCATAATATTTTTGAGCCAAAGTGGGGAAGAAAAATCCGTTCATGTCAACCCCACCACCAGTGCAAGTTTTTGTTCCACTCATTCCTTGTCCAAGTGGATGCTGATGGTCCAAGAGCTATAATGCACCAAAGCTTTAGAATATCCTTTCTCCCATCCCTTCTCATCCTTTAGCCCTGTGTTTCTTGACCTTGACAACTTAAAGATGTGTGGACTTCAACTCCCGTTGTGCCGTTATTTTGATGTCATTCTGGTTTGTCCCAGATCCTCAGGTCCTTGCTAGCAAACTGGTGTGTGTGTGTGCGCGCACGTGTGTCATTTCAGCTGCTCTGAACATCAGAAAACAGACATGCAGGACTTCCCGGTCCGTTCTGCTTTTCCGCAGAATCCGAAAGGATGTGAATAACGCTTTATAACTTTTTACTCTTCTCCTGTTCCAAATTGATGTTTACAACACTTCTTCTTTTTAAAAAAATCAGCTGGAGTGAGGGTTTCGGGATGTGTGGGCCATGTAAATAAAATTAGATGGCTACTCTGTCTAATCACGGCAGATCTCTCCATGCTGTGACTCACGCAAAGGTCATTGGCTCAAACCAAGGGGTGCCTTTTTCACATCCTGTTTTTCCAAATAAAAGTTCCAAATTCTTTTTCTGCTTCAGTGGCTTGTATCTTTTATGCTGGATTCCATCTAGCTCAGTCTTGAAGATTTAACTTGTCATTTAAGTGTCAGATTTAACTTCATGGGTGAATGTAATGCAAATAAAAATTAAACCTGATTTCAGAATCACACCTATGCACCATCTAAATGCCAGGAACCAAATGCCCAGATACAAGGTAGAATGCTTGCTGGCGGCCTAAATCTGATTCCACAACCGCGTCTCTTCCCTCCATGGCTCACTTTTCTCCCTCCAACAGTTCCTCCTTCGTCCTGGATACCTTTTCCATTTCTTCTTTCCATCTTCAAGGGTATTTCTAGGGCCTTACGTATTCAGAAGAGTCTTCCTCCATTCTCGGACCTTCTATGGAGACCTTGTCAAAAGCCTTCGTTTCATCTGCACCTTCTGCAAACAAGTATTGAAAGCCGATGGCTACAGGTGGGAACTGCCCCAGAGGATCTTCATCTGGAATTTATTTGAGTCGTCCCTCATCATGTCACACCCCTAAACAAGAGAGCCTTCATAATATTTTTGAGCCAAAGTGGGGAAGAAAAATCCCCATCCATTCATGTCAACCCCACCACCAGTGCAAGTTTTTGTTCCACTCATTCCTTGTCCAAGTGGATGGCTGTTGGTCCAAGAGCTATAATGCACCAAAGCTTTAAAATGTCTTTTCTCCCATCCCTTCTCATCCTTTAGCCCAGTGTTTCTCGACCTTGACAACTTGAAGATGTGTGGACTTTAACTCCCAGAATTTAGATCAGTGTTTCTCGACCTTGACAACTTGAAGATGTGTGGACTTTAACTCCCAGAATTTAGATCAGTGTTTCTCGACCTTGGCAACTTGAAGATGTGTGGACTTTAACTCCCAGAATTTAGATCAGTGTTTCTCGACCTTGGCAACTTGAAGATGTGTGGACT